AGATCTAGAACTAGACAAGGATGCCCACTTTCCCCACTCTTATTCAGCATAGTACTGGAAGTTCTAACCAGTGCAATAAGGTCAGAAAAAGCAATCAAGGGCATCCAAATTGGAAAGGAGGACATTGAACTATCCCTATTTTCAGGTCATATGATCATATACACAGAAAACCCTAAAGACGCCACCAAAAAATTGCTAGAACTAATAGATGAATTCAGTAAACTGGCAAGATACAAAATCAACCCACAAGAATCAACAGCTTTCCTATATGCCAATAATGAAATATCTGAAGAAGAAATCAAGAAAGTAATCCCATTCACAATAGTAACCAAAAAAATTAAATACCTAGGAGTAATGGAGGTAAAAGACCTCTACAATGAAAACTATGAAATATTGGTGAAAGAAATTGAAGACAACACAAATAAAGGGAAAGATATCCTATGTTCATGAGTTGGAAAAATTAATATCATCAAAATGTCTGTAAAGCAACCTACACATTCAACACAATCATTATCAAAATACCAATAACATTCTTCACAGTAATAGAAAAAACTGATCTTAAGATTTGTATAGAACCACAAAAGACCCCATACAGCCAAAGCAATTTTAAACAAAAAGAACAAAGTTGGAGACATCACATGTTCTGACTTCAAAATATAATATAAAGCTATAGTAACCAAAACAGCATGGTACCAGCATAAAAAAAAAGACAAATCACCAGTGGAATAGAGGGGCCAGAAATAAACCCACACATTTATAGCCAACTGATTTTCAACAAAGCTTCCAAAAATATACACTGGGGAAAGGACAGCTTCTTCCCCAGTCTTGGGAAAACTGGACATCCACATGCAGAAGATTGAAACTAGGGGCCGGCCCGGTGGCACACTGCTACAGTGCGCCGCTTGGGAGTGTGGCGGTGCTCCCGCCGAGGGTTCGGATCCCACATACAGACCGGCCGCTCACCGGCTGAGCGAGGTGCAGGAGCAACACCAAAGGTTGCGATCCCGTTGCCGGTTGGGTTCGGATCCCACATACAGACCGGCCGCTCACCGGCTGAGCGAGGTGCGGGAGCAACACCAAAGGTTGCGATCCCGTTGCCGGTTCCGGTCCGGTATAGGCGTGACACTGAGGGTTGCGATCTGTTGCCGGTCACGAAAAAAGACAAAAAGGAAAAAAAAAAAAAAAAGAAGATCGAAACTAGAGTCCTATTGCTCACCATACACAAAAATCAACTCAAGATGGATGAAAGACCTAAATTTAAGACCTGAAACTGTTAAACTACTTAAAGAAAACATAGGGAAAATACTACATGAAATGGGTGTGGGCAGCACTTTTTTGAACAAGACTGTATAGGCATAGGCAACTAAAGCAAAAATATAGAATTGTGACTACATCATACTAAAAAGCTTCTGCACAGCAAAGGACACAACAACACAGTGAAGATACAACCTATGGAATGGGAATAAATGTTTGCAAACTACACAGCAGACAAGGGGCTAATATCCAGGATATATGAGGAACTCTAACAAACCACCAGCAAAAAAACCCAACCCAATTAAAAAGTGGATAAAGGACCTGAACAGACATTTTTCAAAAGAAGACATACACATGGCTAACAGGCACATGAAAAAATGCTCAACATCACTAATCATCAAGGAAATGCAAATTAAAACCATAATGGAGACATCATCTCGTTCTAGTTAGAATGGCCATTATCAAAAAGACAGAAAATAACAAATGTTGGTGAAGATGTGAAGAAAAGAGATCTCCCCTACATTGTTGGTGGGAATGTACATTGGTACAGCCATTGTGGAGAACAGCATGGAACTTCCTTAGAGAACTAAAAATAGAACAATCCTATAGCCCAACAATCCCACTATTGGGTATATACCCAAAGGAAATAAAATCAATATATTGAAGAGACTCCTGCAGTCCTATGTTCATTACAACATTATTCACAAAAGCCAAGAGGTGGAATCAACCTAAATGTTCATCAACAAATAAACGGAAAAAAACTGTGGTATGTACACAAAATAGAATACTATTCAGCTATTAAGAAAAAATGAAATCCTATCTTTTGCAGCAATATGGATAGAATTGGAGACCATTTTGTTATGTGAAGTAAGCCAGGCACAGAAAGACAAATACCACGTGATGTTTCTCATATGTGGAATCTAAAAAAAAAGGTGATTCTCACAAAAGTAGAGAGTAGAATAATGGTTACCAGAGGCTGGAGAAGTGGTTGGTTGAGGAAAGGGTAAGTGATGGATTAATGGGTATAAAACTATGCTATCTAACCTAAGTTAATCATTGTACAGTATATGCATGTATTGAAACAACTGTACTCCACAAAAATGTACAATTAAATCTTAAAAAAATAAGTAAAATAAAGAAGGAAAACTGCTAAATGAGATATAATTAACATTAATGTTGGCTTCTATTAGGAAATGTAAACTATAATCTAATTGGGCTTTACAGGGGATAGAAGTCCAAAGAAATGCTAAGAAAACCTATCTGTAAATTTTAATAATTTGTGACTGTGAAAACTGAACTTCTCCCTAAAGAATTCACTATAAACATACACACAATAACACAGACAAACCAACACTGTTAAAACAATTTAAGTGACCTCTGCTGGTTACAACATAAAAGTTAAATAAATCCAAGGATATCTGGGGTTAAATAGAGGTTATTATTATATTATTATGATTAGTCAGGCACTGTGCTAACTGCTTCATGTTATCTCAGGTACTCGTCACAATACTCCTGTTATGAGTGCCTGAGTTCACACAGCCCTAAGTAGCAGAAATGGGACCGACAGCCAGTCTATCTGAATTCCAAGCAGGTACTCTTCTCACTGTGCAACACTGCCCCTTAACCATGCTACATCTGCTCTCCCAGAGGGCTGACATTTCTACTTGAAGATCTATCCAATCATTCATTCAAGAAATATTGAGTATCTACTTTAGGCCATATACTGTCGTTAGCTTGAGGATACAGTGGTGAACAAGACAGATCAAATACTTGCCTACATAGTTTATATTACTGTGGGGGAGATTAAGTAGTGATATAACTTCAGATTGTGATAAATTGTATAAAGAAAAATTGATGGGATTGGTGTGCAGGAGAGAGAAGGGTCAGAGCTTTTCTGAGAAGGAGCTACTTGAGCAGAAACCTCAGCTATAAAGAACTAGATAAGCAAAGCTGTGGCGTGTGTATGTACTGCAGGAAGAGGCAGTAAGTGTAAAGGCTCTGAGTCAGACACAATCTTGTGGGGTTTGAAGAACAGTAAGAAAGCCATAGCTCCCTCTATTCTAGGTGCTCCTACCTTCTGTTTTTTATAACAACAAATGTCAACTATTTTCTCTCCACCTAAAAAACTCTGCACTTTTCCAGAACAATTTCTTATATTACTTTGTGTCCACCCTCAATAACCACTTCAAATCCTCATTATTCTTCAAAACTGGTCAAGTTCCACCATCTCCCATTCCCTGAACTACCTGGTACTTCCAAACTATAATACACAATATAGTACTTAGTTATAAACAGGTCTTTCACACGATACATTTATGCATATATTATCAATTCTGCAGTAATAACTGGAAACTCTAATTTAAAAGTCTGTGCCAATGAATGATAATTATCTGTATGAGTTTCCAACGAGGTATGAGGCTTTCACCAAATTGTCTAGTAGAATACTTTGAAGTAGAGCTGAATAGAAATTTTCTGAATGTCTCTATTGCTACAAGAAGTAAGAACACAGACAGAGAAGGCAATTAGACATCCTTTGAACAACTTTAAAAGATTTCAGATGTGCAAACTACCTCAAAAACTCTTGTAACTTATATGAAGGCAAATAAAATTAATAATTGTTACTAATTAATATGTATTATTGCTTTCATTTATTTAAGGTCATAGGATTCCTTACTATTTTAGTTTTTCTGGAAATCTAAAATTATTTTTAAATTGCTATTATTTATTTATTATTAGCATATTCATTTTACAAATCGTGATTTTTCTTTATGCCCTTTACCTGACCTTTCACTCCGCAAACTGCCTCCTTCCCTCTCCCCTTTCTAGTATCCTTAGGTTTGTTCTCTCCTGAAAGTTCAACTATTATTGTGGCCTTTTCTTTCTTTCTTTCTTTCTTTCTCTTTTTCTTTCTCCTTCGTTCCTTTCTTTCTTTCTTTCCTTCCTTTCTTCCTCCCTTCTTAGTATACAGTTATGAGTGAGAACATGCGGTATTTCTCTTTCCTTGTAAAATTTTTTTAACTCTGGTTCTCAAAGGGTGGTCTTGAGACCAGCAGCAGCAGCAAAAGGAGAAACGGCTGCAGGAAAATTATTAGAAATGCAAACTCTCAGGCCCCATCCCAATCTACTGAGTCAGAAACTCTGGGGACAGGGCCTAGCAATCTGTTTCAACAAGCCAGTGATTTTGACGTACTCAGCAATTTGAGAACTCCTGTCTTCATGTGAAAAGTCTTTTTACAATTTTCCTATGTCTCTGAAGCTAATCAGAGACTTCAAAATTCTACAGTATATTTAAAATATGCTATTTTAAACAACTTACTGAAAATGTCTTTAAGGAGTAATGTTCAGATCATTAAAAAATTGGTTTGCATTACCTTAAATTCAACCTAAAAGTTATCTTTTATTTTACAAACTCACATAATTAGTGCTAATATGCTTAACTGTAATGAATTTATTCTCTCATCTCAATTCAGTACTACTACTTGATAGTTAAGTTCAAATATCTGTCTAAAACATAACCAAACATATTCTTTGGAAAATGAAACTTGCTTGTTCTCTGTGCTGCCCTCTGCTGATTTGTAAGGCAAACTTCATATATTTGAAGGTGCTAGCAGTAGTCCTAAGGAAGATAATCATTTAATCAAATAACTTATTCCATATGAATAAACTATCTGCTCACTGTAAGAAGCAAGAGATTAGGCGAACCTCTAAAAAGTTAATGCTGGGGTTGACCTGAGTTTGAAACTGACCTGCAACTCCTACTTGATGTGTAGCATATCCTGGTAATCTGCTCGACCCTTCTGCCAGCCACAAAGTCAGTGTTGATGAATCCGATTCTGCGTGGTGAAAGCTGAAGCCCAGAGAAGCAGCAGGGGCAATAAATCGGCTTTGTAGGATGGGAATGTGCAGCCATACAGCTATCCTACCTTCTGATCTCCATTGCTGTATTGCTGCTAAAATGTAGAAGATAAAAATCTGTAAGTATTTTCCCTTGAGAGGAGTAGAATAAATTAAAGCTCAGCTCAGGATGTCACCTCCTCCAGGCAGCCATCTTTAAGTATGTACTTTTCTTACTGGTTAGCTCTCTGGGAAGAGACCCCAAAATGTCCTGTTCACAGCACCAGCATGGGAACTACCATGTTTCATCATAATTACCACCTCGTTTATATGATTTTTCAATAAGACTGAATTCCTTGAGAAGACAGTCAGTATAATGCTGATCTTTATAAATATATCATCTAAAACAATGCTTGGCACATAGTGCTCAAAAATCGTAGAATGGACAAATAAACTGATTAAAATGAAATAAAATAGCATTTTAATGTTGTTCCTTTTAAAATCCTTAGTTTTAATCTTTATAAATGATTATTATGGACTCTATTTGCTCCTCAAGAGTTCTGTCATAATTTTTTTGTTTGTTTATAAATGTAAAGGTGGTTAAAAATATAACTTTACTTTTAAATAATGTATGCTAGTTCTAGAAAATTTTGAACATAAAAATATAATGAAGAAATCGAAACTTCACATTTTATTAGCATGCAGAAATAAAATTAAAAATTTTGGTATTTTCTCATGATCTTGGAATTAACATCATACCATATATAGTTTACATCATATGCCTTTCACTATATATATATATATATATATATATATATATATATAT